AGAAAGAACAAACTAGTTTTATTTAAGAAAGGACTTGTATCGCTGAAGTTCCTCGGGTAGAATTTATACCGGAAATTAACAAACGACCAGAGACGCAACAGTTTGTTTGTTTTGAATTTCGCGCAAAGCTATTCGAAGGCTAACTGCACTAGCCGTCCCTAATTTAGCCGTGTAAGACTAGAAGGAAGGCAACTGGTCATCATCACCCAACGCCATCTCTTGGGCCTCTCTTTTACTAACGATAGTTGAATTGAAAGGGCGAGTATGTTTGGTGGGACTGGGATTTGAACCCGTGACCCGCATATTGCGAGTTGAGCTCTCTAACCACCTGGCCATGCCTGGCTACAGTAGGGTACCAAGCAAAGATTGAGTAGATTTCAAAGTACATTTATGGAATAATGAACAACAAACTATTTGTCTTGCTTTTAATTCAAAAGAACTAGCTTTAATAGCACTAAATAACCTTCCAACATAGAGTTAAAATAATTGTGGTGCATTGGTGGCCACCTTGTCAAATATGAGAAGGAAGTTGATTCTTTTAAATGTGTAGGAAGATGAATGGCTTGCTGTTAACTACTACATGTATTCACTTTGAAATTTATTCCAAATTGTGCCCGATATGCCTCACATTGAACCTTTCCACTGTAGTGTTTTAGGCTTGCAATTGCAGATTTCATAACAGTTCTGTGGGTTCTCTGTGTCATATCATATTTTTAAGTTCAAAGTCTTGGGTGAATGCAGATGGAGGTATGGATGACTTGGTTATACGCATTTCTAGTTAAGATTCGAAATTTTTTATCATTGAATTGGTGTGCATTTATATTTATTCAACTTTGTTACTTTTCATATGGATTCCACGATCTTGTATTCAATCAAATTGTCTTTTATTTTCACTTTTTTCTGCAAATATTATAGTGGGGGAAATATTTATTGCATCAACCAATTTTTTAGCACTTTTCTTCTCAATCAACGTTTGCTTTGAGACCATAATGCATGTAGGTGCAAATGTGTGTTGTGGATGATACAATGCTGTTTCTTTATTACACCAACAGCTTTATAAGACGTCTAAGTATTACATCAGCCGTGTTTTGGTTATAAATAGAGGTTCTTACTGAAAGTCCGTTTAGAAGCTTACCTGCTACAACGTGCGTGTGATGCTACCATGGCCAAGGGTTGGGAGTTAACTCCACAGAAAAAAAAAGAGCATTCATTGATTCTTTGAGAAAAGAGGAACTTTCCACAAAGCAGATTACTAGAATAATTCAATTTAACCAGTCTACTGTGAACCACTAGCTCCAGATTTACAGAAAAACTGGTTGTGTGGAGCAGAAGAAGGGAAGGAAGCTTCCACGACAAGTCAACTGTTTTGAAACACATGAGTCTGCAGAATTGTCGACTGTCGTCCACATATCTCAAAACAGCATGGCAGGAAACTTCAGTCTCACCCGTGTTCTGCTGATCTCCAAGCAATATTGCCAAGAAAGAAACCCTACCTCAACAACAAGATGAGGAACATGAGGCTGGACTGAAACAATGTTACCTTCTGAGATAAACCAAGGTTCAATCTGTATGGGACAGAAGGGAAGCACTTTGAATGATGACTTTGATGTGGAGAAAAGTTTCTTCTAGCATCTTTAAATGATGACGTTGATGTAGAGAAAAGTTTCTTCTAGCATCTTTGAATGATGACGTTGATGTGGAGAAAAGTTTCACTTAAGATCTTTGAATGATGACGTTGATGTGGAGAAAGGTTTCATCTAGCATCTTTGAATGATGACGTTGATGTGGAGAAAAGTTTCATCTAGCATCTTTGAATGATGACGTTGATGTGGAGTAAAGTTTCATCTAGCATCTTTGAATGCAACTGTAAAGAGTCTGAAGGGCCAGGTGATGTGGAAATGCACCTCTGGCCAGGGAGTGGAATGTCTGCATTTTGTGAAAGACTCTGTCAATGCCGACAAGTACATCAAGATCCTCGAGTCTTGGTTAAAGCCAACAATTAGGTATTATTTCGTTGGAGCTGACCAGTTTAAGTTTCAGGATGACTCTTCTCCATGCCACAAGGTTAAAAATGTTGGTAATATTCATACATTCTGTGCATCAGACATGAAATAAAGAAGAAATTTCATTCTATGTGTATTGAAAAGACATCTTTGGTTATATTTCATTGTCTCTGGTGAAGGACTATCATCAAAGGGAGAGGATCAAACAAACAATCTACTTGTAACATCATGAACTCACATTGCTTACATTTAGTCCCTTGTGATGTCAAACAGTTATCAAGGCCAGAGGAGGCACAACCAAATATTAAAACAAGAAACAAACTCTGTGGCAAACAAACTTTTTTCAGTTACATTAGAATGCTGTTATCCTTCAATTTTACTCAGAAAACATTTGTGAATTTGTAAAGTATCTGTCGATCATCTGCTGTAATATGTTTATCACAGTTGTTTTCTTAATAAAGATGCATATATATATGTGTTTGAATCACTTTTTGTCAATTACATTAGTGATGTTATCTATAAATCTAGATTTTTTTATTCAGAGAACATTTTCCTATTTGCCAAGTGTTTGTTGATCATCTACTGTAATACGTTTGTCACGGTTGGTTTGTTAACAATGATGTATATATATGTGTGTGTGTGTGTTTGTGTGTGTGTGTGTGTGTATGTTTGTTTGGCTGAAATATGGCTGTTTACACCACAAAATATCCATAAACGTTTTACACTGGTTCTGATACTTCCACAATGTGTAATCGTGTGAAACATTGCAGGAATCAAGAAAAGCGTGAAAAAAATTGGATGATGCAATGGTGTTTTCTAGCATCGTAAGTCTCTTTCTTGTAATTCGGTTCTTAAGTTTCTTACAAGGACAATATAAAGTCCAATCCAGTTAATGATACCAAAACAGTGTCACTTCTGGTACCAGTGTGTAATGGATACTATTGTTTGACACGTTCATTGATATTGTTTAATAAAAAGATACTAAAAATTGTATATTATTTTCTTCAACTTGAAGTTCGCCCCCAGCTGCACAGCGGTATGTCTGCGGACTTACAACGCTAGAAACCGGGTTTCGATACCCGTGGTGGGCAGAGCACAGTTAGCCCATTGTGTAGCTTTGTGCATAAATTCAAACAAACAAACAAAAACTTGAAGTTTCACGTTTAGCATAATCAACGTTGACCGATAGGCCTAACTACACAAATAAACTACTTCTAACAACAACTACAGTTACTGGCTAGTCTCGTATTACTATTTATTACTCGAAAAGCAAACTCGACGTTTACATCACAGAACTAACTCATTAACTCGTTTACAATAACACATAAACTGACTAAATCACTGATTATTCATTTAACTATGGATAAAATTGTTTCCTAATACTTAGAGAAAGTTTCATACGTTATAAGGTCGCGTCTATCATATTAGGTAAAATTTTCTTCATATTAGACAACAATAGAGATTTCGAGAACGTTTAGATAAAACATTATATTTAGTGCAACTACTCCAGGATAGGAGGTGACTTTTGTAAGGTAATTAATACCAAGAATTCATAATTGTAATGTTTCGTTTTCTTTATTATCCCTTTTAGTGTTATTTAAAGATCAATTATTTTCAATAACATTTAATAAATTCAACTAAACATGTCACGCTATAAATATTTCATTTGGTTTTGTTTGTAATGTGTAGAAATACCTTGTAGTACTGAAACTAAATATGCAGACATTTTATTATGTTATTTTATTATGATTATAAGATAATATAATTATGTTACAGCCCGGTACAACTATTATTAGTATCAACTTTTTTCGTTTGTTCCGGGTAATGCGACTTGTAAAACTACTGAGTAGAGGAGAAGGAATCAAAACACTACTCTGGACCTTCATCAAGTCTATTCAGGTGAGTTTTTACACTAATGTGGACGTTCCTTAAGCCAATCCAGGTGAGTTTTTACACAACTTTGGATCTTCATAAAATCTATCCGGGTGAGTTTTTACCCGACTCTGGACTTTCCTCAAGTCTATCCAGATGAGTTTTTATACTACTGTGAACCTTCACCAAGTCTATCTAGGTGAGTTTACACGCTACTCTGGACCTTCATCAAGTCTGTCTAGGTGAGCTTTTACACTGCTCTGGATCAACATGATACTACAATGTATCCAGGTGTATCTTGATGTGATACTATCACCGATTGAGCTGAATATTCACCTGGTTATATGATTTGCTTAAGTGTGTATTTACGTGATACTAAAATCTGCTCATGAGTGTCTTGGCATGGTACTACAATATATTCAGGTGACATATGACATACTACTACAATCTGTTCAGGTGTGTCTTGACATGCTACTACAATCTATTAAGGTGCCATTTGGCATGATACTACAATCTGTTAAGGTGCTTAAGGAGAGTTCACAAAAACACAAATCGAAACTGATAGTACAAAGCTTCAAAGATTAAAGCTTTTAGTGAACGCTCCAGAAGAAGCTGAAAGTGAAACGTTGATTGTTTAATTAAATAAAAACAACATTATTGTGCTATAAGTTCGTTTATTTCTAGTATTAGTATGTCTTCTATACACCAGTATAAAATACAGAAATCAAATAATCTGTTCAGGTGACATTTGTCATGATACTACAATCAGCTCAGGTGTGTCTTGAACATTTACTAAAATGTGTTTTTGTTTTTTGAGATGATATTGCAATCTGCTCTGATGAGTCTTACCACTACACTATAATTTACTAGGGGAATACTTACATTTTACTAAATTTGTTCATGTGTGTCTTAACATGGTACTACAACCTGTCTTTACATTGTAGTATGGCCTGTTCACGAGATATTACATTCCGTTCAAATGATATTACATTCTGTTCAAGGGATATTATATTCTGTTCAAGGGATATTATCTTCTGTTCAAGTCATATTATGTTTTATTCAAGTGATATTATATTCTATTCAAGTGATATTACATTCTGTTCAAGTGATATTACATTCTGTTCAAGTGATATTACATTCTGTTCAAGGGATATTATATTCTGTTCAAGGGATATTATATTCTGTTCAAGTCATATTATCTTCTGTTCAAGTCATATTACATTTTGTTCAAGTGATATTACATTCTGTTCAAGGGATATTATCTTCTGTTCAAGTCATATTATATTCTATTCAAGTGATATTATATTCTATTCAAGTGATATTACATTCTGTTCAAGTGATATTACATTCTGTTCAAGTATTATTACATTCTGTTCAAGTATTATTACATTCTGTTCAAGTATTATTACATTCTGTTCAAGTGATATTACATTCTGTTCAAGTATTATTACATTCTGTTCAAGTGATATTATATTCTGTCCACATGAAACAAAATGCTCATTCAGATAAACTCTATGTGACTGTTTTATCATACGAACCTGCTGTGAAAGTTTTCACAGTTTTATTGAACACTTCAGATATAAAACCTTTCTCTTCATGAGCATATTCTAGAAGACTGATTTCATAATTCCTCTTTATATAGAGGTGTAAGAAATAGATAGTTTGTAATTATGGTTGTAAATATGAATAATTGTATTGATGAAATATTAACATAAAGTATGTTTGGATATATAAAGGTGTAAAATTACTCATGAAGGACGAAACAAGTAATCTTATTCTTGTCATCTATCTCGTCAAGAAGCGCTTGGCTGGTTTTGGTTTTGTTGCATAGATATACAAAATTATCTACGACAATTATCGTACATTGTTGTTGTAAGATAAAATTTTAAGTTTGGTAAAGGTACACGACTATTGTCGAACATTTTTGTTTTAAGATAACGTTTTAAGTTTCTTAGTGGTTCTTGAATATTATCGAATATTCTTGATGTAAGATAATATAACGTTTTTGAGTTTCTTACTTGACCATGACTATTATCAAACATTGTTGTTGTAAGATAACGTTTTGAGTTTCGGTTTGGTCCACGATTATTGTTGTACATGTATTTTTGCTGTAAGATAACTATATTGATTATTTTTATTACAGGTGCAGAGATATGAAGAATTTATATATAAATATTAGTTTTATGACTTGGTTAGGTTTCGGTTTTTTATAGGTAATGATTTGAATACCACAGATAATATTACGTCACACTTTCAACCTCCTTTACTTCTGTTTTGTTAGCAATCATATGTATACGTAGCCTTGTTTTTTTTAACCAGGTAACCTTGTTTTTTTAACCAGGCTCTTCCGTATGTCGCCCTGCTTATTGTTATGTTGTTTTTTATCTACGCAGTGATTGGGATGCAGGTAAGATTCTCTAAATTGTTTTAAATAGCTTACTTATTCTGCCAAGTTAATGACCTAAATTTGTTTGTTTAATAACGTAGACTTACGTATAGGCAGTGTAACCAAACGTATTTATTTATTTTATCATTTCACATCTCTCTTTAAACATTAAAGTAAGTATGTATTTATGAACATGTGTGAATTTGATACCATCAACATGTGTGGCTAGATTAGACACGTGTGGGTTACACTTTCATTTTCATATGGTATGTTGAATGAAATTTGAGTTTGATTATAAAAACAAGAGAGTTATAAAACATTACATTGGGAGGATTATAAGGTTTTATGTTTGTTATAACTACATTACGAGGATATGGGGTTCTATGTTTGTTTAGGATATAATGTTCTATGTTTGTTATCACTAAATTACGAGGACATGAAGTTGTATATTTGTTTAGGATATAAGGTTCTATGTTTGTTTAGAATATGAGGTTCTATGTTTGTTATCACTACATTATAAGGATATAAGGTTCTATGTTTGTTATCATTCCATTATGAGGACATGAGGTTCTATGTTCGTTTTCACTATATTACGAGGACATAAGGTTCTATGTTATCACCACATTACGAGGATATGAGGTTCTATGTTGGTTTAGGATATAAGGTGCTATGTTTGTTATCACTACATTACGAGGATATGAGGTTCAATGTTTGTTTAGGATATAAAGTTCTATGTTTGTTTAGGATATAAGATTCTATGTTTGTTATCACCACATAACGAGGATATGAGGTTCTATGTTTGTTATCACTACATTATAAGGATATTAGATTCTATGTTTGTTATCATTTCATTATGAGGATATGAGGTTCTATGTTTGTTTAGGATATAAGGTTCTATGTTTGTTATCACTACATTACTATGATATGAGGTTCTATGTTTGTTATCCCTATATTACTAGGATATGAGGTTCTATGTTTGTTTAGGATATAAGGTTCTATCTTTGTTATCACTACATTACGAGGATATGAGGTTCTATGTTTGTTTAGGATATAAGGTTCTATCTTTGTTATCACTACATTACGAGGATATGAGGTTTAATGTTTGTTTAGAATATAAGGTTCTATGTTTGTTTAGGATATAAGATTCTATGTTTGTTATCACCACATTACGAGGATATGAGGTTCTATGTTTGTTATCACTACATTATAAGGATATTAGATTCTATGTTTGTTATCATTCCATTATGAGGATATGAGGTTCTATGTTTGTTTAGGGTATAAGGTTATGTGTTTGTTATCACTACATTACAATGATAAGAGGTTCTATGTTTGTTTTCACTACATTACGAGGATATGATGTTCTATGTTTGTTTAGGATATAAGGTTCTATGTTTCTTATCACTACATTATGAGGATATGAGGTTCTATGTTTGTTATCATTACATTACGAGGATATGAGGTTCTATGTTTGTTATCATTACATTACGAGGATAAGAGGTACTATGTTTGTTTTCACTATATTACGAAGTTATAAGGTTCTATGTTTGTTTACGATATAAGGTTCTATGTTTGTTAACAATATAAGGTTCTGTGTTTATTTAAAATATTAGGTTCTATGTTTGTTTAGGATATGAGGTTCTATCTTTGTTTAAATATAAGATTCTTTGTTTGTTTAGGATATGGTGTTCTATGTTTGTTTAGGATATAAGATTATGTGTTTGTTATCATTACATTATGAGGATATGAGGTTCTATTTTTTGTTATTACATTACGAGGATAAGAGGTTCTATGTTTGTTTTCACTATATTACGAGGTTATAAGGTTCTATGTTTGTTTACGATATAAGGTTCTATGATTGTTTAGGAAATAAGGTTCTGTATTTGTTTTGGATATAAGGTTCTGTGTTTGTTATCACTACTGAAGCTCTCTTTTAGTCGAAAGTAAACTTTCATGAAAACTTTACTCATTTTTAGGTTTTTGGAAAAATTGCCCTTGATGATGAAACTGCTATTCACAGAAACACAAATTTTCAAACATTTCCACAGGCAGTTTTAGTCCTCTTCAGGTAGGGTATTCACAGTTTTTAAATTATTAAGTGAGTTATTGTATTAATAGTTTCGAGAGATTGAATAATTTCTAGAAATAATACTTTCAACAGCTTCAAGAAAGTAAGTCATGTTTATTATTAACAGCTTCAAGAAAGTAAGTCATGTCTAGCTGTAATAGCTTCAAGAAAGTTAGTCATTTTTATCACTGACAGCTTCAAGAAAGTAAGTCATGTCCAGCTGTAATAGCTTTAAGAAAGTTAGTCATGTTTATCACTAACAGCTTCAAGAAAGTAAGTCATGTACAGCTGTAATAGCTCCAATAGATTATATTACTTCTACCACTAATAGCTTCAAGAGATTGAATTATATCAATAGCATCAAGGGATTGAGTTATACCTAAAAATAATGTGGTCAAGATATTGGGTTATCTTCAGAAGTAATGGTATAAAGAGATTGGGTTATATCTAGAAATAATGGCGTCAAGAGATTAAGTTGTATCTAAAAGTAATGGCATCAATGGGTTAAGTTATATGTATAAGAAATGGCGTTCAGAGAGTCAGTTATATGCGTTAGTAATAGCTTCAAGAGGTTGAGTTATATTTATTAGTAATAGCTTCAAGAGGTTGAGTTACATGTGCTAGTAATAGCCTCAAGAGGTTGAGTTATATGTGTGTTACTAATAGCTTCGAGAGGTTGAGTTATATGTGTTAGTAATAGCTCAAAAGGTTGAGTTATATGTGTTAGTAATAGCTCAAAAGGTTGAGT